GACCCAAAAAAATGAGGCTGGGGCAGCATACATCCGCTCCAGGCCACTCGGCGCAGGCATCGGAGGCCACCTTCGGTGCGCTGATGGATGCGGCAGGAGGACGGGCTGTCTCCCACAAATGGGATCAACCAACCAGTGACTTGCAACTCTGCCGGATGACAGGGTTCGTCCTTAGGTCAGCCCAGTTGCAAAATAGATGGCGCTTTTCGTTTGCTTCCAAAAAAATGCCATTGCCATTTCCAAAAGCGCAGAACGGGCCCGCCCGAATGTCAGCCCTACAGTAATCGAACTGGTCGCCTGAGGTGAAAGATCTCCCGCTACAGCCTTCTCTAGTGAATTTGTCAATTGACAGGGTTCTTCATGTGACGTTGGTTCTTCTTGACAAGTTCCTTGGTGAGGTGAAGGCCCAGTCAAGTCTTGGCTGTTCAGACATAGATTACCGGTTTCAACGCGAGCTTGTGGATCCTGCAAGCAAAGAGTGTCATGTAGGTGTTCTTTCAATATAAATTATGACGTCTCCGCGTTTGGCAGAGTAGCAACCAGGACAAATAGTCGTGGTCCCAAAACGTACGGCTCTAAGTAGGCCTGTGATTGAGGTGGCTAATTTAGACATCAACCCCGGGAGGCCAAGAACATCCTTGCCTTCTGATTTTGAGTTCCGCCGGGATCGGGGAGTCAGTTGGATGCCCGCGTCTTCATGGCCCGGCGGGGTATAAATCAGGGCTTGACGTAGCCGCACAACCCCCAAGAGACACCCGCAACACTTGGAAACGTCGTGCATCTTATCCCTTTGCAACAGGACGGCACAGACGAAGTGCCAAGCCTACTTTTCTGTAGCAAAGATTCCGGCGTGTTTGAGCAACTGACAAAGCTACTGGTAGTTTGTTGTTACTTTGAGGAGGGCACAGGCCACCTACTTGTCCCATGTCCTTTTGGGAAACGAGTAATGTCATCCGTCTGCTCCCCGAACACAGGAGCTCGGGACTGGCGCCTGGCGATCCACCTGCTGCAGCTGTGCCCTTTGGCGGAGCTAGAATGCGCGAGCCGCAGTTTGGAGTTTGGGCAAATAGGCTGAGACTATTTGACACGCGCATGTATATGTACCCTCGCAATGTCGGCACAGAGCGTTCTTATTCTCCTTCGCTCTATCTAGCTCTCTCTCTCTCTCGCTCTCTCTAGCTCTTTCTCTCTTTCTCTCTTTCTCTCTTTCTCTCTTTCTCTCTTTCTCTCTCTCTCTCTCTTTCTCTCTCTCTCTCTCTCTCTCTCCCCCCCTGTCTAAAACTTCTTTCGCTTTAAGTTTAGAAGGAACTTCTGCAGTACCGAGAAGGCCACGACCAAGTTGAACAACGCGAGAACTGGGGAATAGAAGAAGCCGGAGGGAATGTGGCCCAGCGTTTGAATTCGAACCCGCCGCGGGCCGACCTTCAAACACGGGCAAGAGCGAGAGAGAGAGAGAGAGAGAGAGAGAGAGAGAGAGAGAGGGAGAGAGAGAGAGAGAGAGAGAGAGAGAGAGAGAGAGAGAGAGAGAGAGAGAGAGAGAGAGAGGGAGAGAGAGAGAGAGAGAAGGAAGAGAGAGAGAGAGAGAAAGAGAGAGAGAGAGAGAGACAGAGAGGTCGGCCTAGATCAGATAGAGCAACAAGCATCTCCATCTCCATACGCACGCGTGCGTTGATCATGATACGGGCGTCATAGTTGTGCGTTCAAAAAGGGAATTATGTCAGTTGTCAGTTGTCAGTTGGCCCAACCGCTTGACGTTTGCTTACCCCATATGTAGGTCATTTGCTGTTGCAAAGGTATGCCACAGGGAATGCTGGGCACACTGGCCAAACCATCATTCACGATGAAGGTGGAGCAACCAGGATGTGACGGTGTGTTTAGCTTGGGGACTTGACTTGCCATTGTCTGACTCTTGTGGCTCACGCCGGCAAGGGGTCAAGTGATCAAGTAGATATTGGAGGCGACTTTTGCGCGGACAGTTTATTTCAGCGTGTCGGGTTCTAAGTTTTGCAGATTCGTAAGTAGCCACGGGGACACACTAGACACAAGGGCGCGAATGCCCTATGGCCTTGTGAGTGGCATACTGCATGTCACGAGGGGTGTCTCTCTCATTTGGCTGGGGAGTCGGGGAGTTAAAATGGTGGGTGGACGTAAATCTTGCTGAAAACGATGCCCAGACTTTTGGGACCTAGCTGCCTCCGTGCCAGAAACCCACAGCTACCTTCCCATCCATGAGACCGCGCGAGCCTGAGGCGAGCAGAGCTCGGTGCCGCTCAACGTGGTGATCTTCTCCTCTGCGCTGAAGGCGCTGCACCCGGAGTGGCGCAGCTCGCTGCGTGTGCTGCAGCTGATGGCGGAAAAGCAGGCGAGGGGCGTGGGTGGGCCTTGTCTGAACGTGTTTAAACCAAGTGGGCATGTGTCAAAACAGGGGCGTGGACCCCGCCGAAAAAGGGAACCCTCAAAGAAGCACGCACAAGTTAGTTGAACTTGAGCCGGATTTGGGCTGAACATGCGTGAAATTCAGGTAAATTGACAGTCACAGCGCCCGAACAGGCAAAGCGTCGCTTCTGGTTTCCCCATGGCATCATGGAACCTGGTAGAAGCCGCAAGCCGGAAAGCAGATCAATTGCGCAAAGCTAACGTTTGTGTGTGTGCCCCTGCCGGTTGATTATCTATTTATCTCATTTGTCTGTCTATTAATCCACGCATCAATTTGCGCATCATCCGTTTGTACCTACCTCTAGCTACCTATCTACCTCTGTAATCTATTCTACTCCATCTAATCAATCGCTGCACCTACCTATCTTTCTATCTCTGCAAACTTCTGCAAACTTATTCTCCACTCTCATCCAATCTAGCCTAGCGAATCCAACCTTGTCCTACCTGTCTATCTACCTGTCTATCCCTCCTATCTATCTAGTCTCATTTGATTTAATTTGTCCATCTATCTAATCTAAGCTTGTCTATCCCCGACCTTTGTGCAGCTGCAACCTCACCCACAGCAAAACAGCAGGCTCGGTTTGAAAGCCAATTTCAGCAAAGTATGTTTTGATGTATCTGTTTGTCAAATCCAGGCACCCTGGCTGCCTCTTAGATTCCTTTACATTTGTCCAAGAAAAGGCATCCTATTTCGACGCAGCCAAAACCAGCGCCCCAGGTCACTCCCAACGTGCTGACCATCGACACGGCTGCTTCGGCGGAGAAACGTGTTTTGATCATTGAGGGGCCCTTATCCTCCCTCTTCGCATCGTGGAAGTGAATCGGGGTTCCTGAGAAGGAAAAGATTTGCTTACGCCCTCCGGCCGTCGGAGGCAGGGCGAGTTTTCCTGTCCTCTTGGTCCATTTGCTTGGGTGTGATGCTTAAAGAGGGTACCTAAATGGCAACCATGAACACCCAAAAAGTCAAAAAGGGGATGGATGTTTCTCCATACCCTCTATTTGACCTGCCGGTTTTCGCAAGCCCACCAAGGGCGAAAGAAGCGAAGCCCAAGATGAGGAGCCCTTGTTTGGGGATTGCAAAACTCTTGCTTGCAAACTGGAGTAAGTAGCGCAGATCCAATTCTTCAATACCTCAGCTGCCAAAGCGGCTCTGCCTTTTCGACATTTTGGCGCTTGGGGTCCAAATTTTGTCAAGGCTCCAAAAAGGTTACCCTGCCAGAATCAAACATGCAATCTGAAAGGGGCCATGTTAGAGGAAAATGGTCTTGAGAGTTCAGGCTGTGCTGTCCAGAAGATGCATGACATGTGGAAAGGGCTAGTGAATTAAGCATACGTGTTGACAAATTGAACGGAGCCCCCGCAGGCCTGGGGAGACCAGACGTAACCAAGAACTTAGGGTGACCTGGCCGTCAGGTCATGGCCAGTCTGCGTTGCCACTGGCAGCAGGCACGGAGAGCTTTCCAGTTTTCTGAGCGCTTCTCATTTGCAGGGCCCGATGAGGGATCCTGAGAAGGGAGTCCATCAGGAGGATTTGGCGTGAACTGAGATGTGGTTAAATTGCAGCAAGCAAGAGGGAAGTACCGCGTGCCTCCTCGATACCCTTTATGTAGGGGTGTATCCAAGTTTTGCGGGGAGGCCCGCTAACTTCCCATTTGAGATTCTCCAGTCGAAACTTAATTCGAGTTCGGCGGATTCGTCCGCAGGCGCTGATGCTGGCGGGCTGTGAACTGAGCACTGCGGCTTTGCTAAGCCTCAAGAGTGCGTGTGATCTGGCCGGCCAAGGGAGGGCTGCAGAGGCCCGCCAGAACAGATTTCTTTCTTGGGTGCTAGGTGCCAGCTCAGCTTTGGGTACTACACTGACTTTTTAAACCAAGCTAGGTGAATGGCCAAGGAAACCAACATGCTTATCCATGGACGCTGGAAGAAAGTGGATATGGCCCCCTGCCTTTGGACTGGGAAGCTTGGTGTTGGCTTATTCAGCTTCTGCAGGTCTTGATTTGTGTGTGAACCCACCTGGCATTCAGTTCTGAGGCTCAAGTCTCCGTTGTTGGGTTGGCCCAACCTGTCGCTGCTGGAAATAATTTATGTTTGCAGGGGGTCAGTTGAGCCGAGACCAAGAAACATAAGCCAGTTGTATGGTTCAATTCTTAGCCCTTAGCTTGTTTCCATCCACCATGCGTTTGTTTCCTCTTCTTTTTGCCAGAAACCAGCCCAGAAACAGAGCTCAGCTTTCCGAAAGGCCGCTTCTGCTGCTGCGGCCCGGGGTGCGGAGAAGCATTTGCGCCGCGCGGCTTTTCGTGTTCCGCTGGCTTCCTCTGAGGCCCTTGGCATCGTTTTTGTGTGTTGGAGTCGTGTGTAGTGCTTATGTGCCTGGAATCTGTTCATTTCGACTTCTCCACTTTTGCCAACTATAGCTTTAATTGCTGCAAAATGTGTTTAACAATAATTTCTGCCAGAGTCGCAGGGTCGTTCGACATGTTGATCCTTTGCTGCGCCACCATGATTAGCCAGCCAAAAATTTGTCGCTGTTGCAACTGACAGCACTGTTTCTCTGTTGAGGCTGATTTGAGCTCGCCTCAAATTAGCCGCCAAATGGTTGGTTTCCTCTTGCTTGAACTGACAAAAAAGTCTGCCCAGAAATCAAAGCATTTTTTGGGATATTTCGCCAATGAAAAGCACTCGACTTCCCGATGGAAGGGGTTTGTCCCAGGGACCCGTTTTTCCCTTTTGCGCCCCGTTAAAACAACCCGGTTGGGGACCCTCGCAAAAGGACACCCAAATCTCTTGAGGCCCTCCGGTGACTTGATTTGTCAGAACGGATGCCCATGCCTTGATGAGACCTCCGATGCTACCAGTCGGTTTCTGGTGTTTGGCTGCAGCCCCATTCGATCAGTGAATTCCTGCAAAACATGTAGGTGTTCCAAGTTTGTTGTCCTTTCAACACAGCGCCCTCACATGCGTATTTTGCTCAAGATCGAGAATCCCGTTCGGAACGGTTTGAAGCAAAACCAAAAGGCAGCAGATCAGATTCATTTTTTAGAAGCACCTCTGAACGCAACAGGGGAGTTTTACAGCTGTGCATTTCTTGTGGGCAATAATGCTTGCTCTATGCTGTAAGACCTGCAAGTGCGGCAATGCACCTCGAACTGCGCCGTTTGTCTCCAAACGAGGGCAAGACGCGTTTTCCTTGGAGACACGCAAAAAGAATGCCTGAAAACAATGACAAAACCATCAGCTGCAAAATGCTCTCGCAACATCTTCATGGTTGTGGAAATTTGGTTTTAGGCCGTGACGCCAAGGGGAAACTCCCTAAAGTGAAAGATCCCGACAAAGCAGTCATAGGGCACTTTGGTATCACCGAAAGTGGCCCATGTCCACAACTATGTTCGACTGCCCAGGCCAGCCGGTGCTGCAGACCGAGGACCGGCCGCTGTGTGCCATGAGCTACTTGTTTGCGTCGGGCTTCAAGTGTGTTTCTTGAATTTTTTTGGGCTCTTTGAATTTCATTTTCGGGTTCCCGTTGGGGTTTGGTTTGGAGGATGAGGATGGGGAGAAGCTGGATGAGAATGCATGTTTTCACCTGGCCAGTTGAGTAGGTGGGTCTACCATTGGCGCTCACTCTGGTTGTAGTAAGCCTATATAAACCTTTCTAACCATCCAAGAGCCAAACATGCGGGCAAAGCCAAGACAGGCCCAAGACTGGCCTTTTTCAACCGTTTGCCCTTGTGCCCATGTTTCCTTTCGACCCACTGGGCGCCAGTTTGAAGCATCTCGCCCTTGCTGAGGCCAATACCTCGATCTTCCGCTGCTTTTCGTCAGCAATAGAGCCTACCAAAGCTTAAATGCTTCTGTGGAGCTTCGGCCTTCCATAAACACCAGGCTTTGTGTTGGCCATGCCCTAGGGCTGAGGGTTTCCGCCACTGGCAACTGCTTGAAAGGACACGACCCTGCCTAAGCTCTGCTTCGGGAATGTAGTTCTCGCGGGCAAAAGGTCTTTGTTGGTTGCCCGGCTCTTTTGTTTTGGAGCTTTGGATTTTTTGATTTTTGTTTTCACTGTAACGCCTCCAAAGTCTGAGTGTAGGGTTTCAACATGAGAATAGGCTTCATTTTCGCAAGTGATATGGTTTGGCGTTCTTAGGGGAGCGCGAGCACAGGTCATGCCACGAAACCCTACGTGTCCAGACTTGGTCAAGAGGGCACGCGCGCTTGCATGTCTGGCATTGCTTTGCTTGTCAATCCAAGTCTGCATGGTTCCTTTTCGCGCCAACCAAAAGGGTCCACCATTTTTTTGGGAAACAGCCAAAGAAGAATGTTTACAAGTTGTTTTGTTTGCGCTTTGCTGCTTTTAAGGACGCGCGCGATCCACCAGCCCACAAACCGATAGAAGAGCAGAAACAGGGTTTCTTTCGGCATAAACAATTTGCCCTGAGGTAGCAAAAAAAGACAACAAAAACCCGGTGTTTACTGTACTGCATTTGGACGAGAAGCTTCCAAGGCCTGCTCTGCTTCTTCGGCGCCGATTACTGGAGCCGCTGTGCTCGGGGGAAGCTTGGAAAGAGGCGACAATTTGGCCATGTCTTAAAATAGGACCCAAAAGAATGTTTGTGGTCCCGCAGGTGCCCTTGCGCCCACACCTCACTCTATGACAAGATTTACCGGAAGAAATACTATGAAATACAAAAAACAACGTGTCCCCCGCCCAGTGCTGCTTATGATGTTTGATTTGCATGTGTTTGGCCGGCGTTCGAAAGAACCGCCCTTCGTTTCGGATGTCGTGCTATGTTGAAGTTGTTGTTTAACAACCAAATACTCAAAACGTGCTCTTTTGCTCAGGCAACCTGATAGAGCCAGATATTCAAGTGTTGTGGCACTTGTTGTTGGGCAACAGGGGCAAGATTGGTGCTGCCATAGCAAATTTGTCAAATGTGATGTAGAAGTGCCACACGTATGCTTCATTCCTTGTGCCAGGTCGTTTGATGGCCTGTGTTGACAAGTGCTTGCCTTCAGGTGGACATACTTGCGGCTACGATTGCGCGATTCGTTATCGACTCTTTTGGATTTCATGCTCAGACGAAATCCTTGCGCTCATGTACATTTATATGAATTTGTGATTGTATTTTGTTGTACAATATATATCTTCCGAATATGTGATGTATTGATACTTATAGTAGGTGTGTGAGCGTATTAGGTTAAACTTATTTTGTGATTACTCGGCGTTGTAAAGTTTCTAGAAGTTAATATTGAATTGAACAAGATTATGTTAATTATGTTTAAATTGAAGTAGAATTGGGTGGTTATCGGTTGAAATATTGTTTTTGTACTTATTTCAAAATTTGGGAAATGGTATTGGTTTGGATATTTTAGAATATATTTGATTATATTAGATATATAATTATAGGTTGTGTTGTTTTTTCATAAATATATTATTATTTTAATTTAATAATGTTAATATTTTGAAATAGTATAAACTAAACATAAAAAAATGATTATAAATTTAGATATTGTTAAATTAAAATAAAAATATATAAATTATTTAATAAAATATAATTAATACATAAAATAATATATTTGTATGTGTTTATAACATTATATTTGTATTTAAAATTCGATTGTGTTTCTCTTTTTTTGGGTTTAGTTGTTGTTTGTTTCGTCTGGCTCGGTTCGCTTTGTTTGTTTGTTTGTGTGTGTGTTTGTTTGCTTGCTTGTTTGCTTGTTTGTTTGTTTGTGTGTGTGTGTGTTTTGTTTGCGTGTGTGCGTGTTTGTGTGTTTGTGTGTTTGTGTGTTTGTGTGTGAGTATGTGTGTGTGTGTTTGTTTGTGCGTGTCTACGTCCGGGCGCGTTTGTTGTGGTATTTGCTCGTGTGTATATTAATAAATTAGAAATAATTGTTCGAATATATTTATGGTTATATATTAATTGGGAAAATATAGATGGATGGATATTGAGGTGAAAATTAATTGTTTGATGGATAAATAATATATGTTGGTTTTTAGATGTTTTATATTTAATTTTAAATTCGGATTTCTAGATTTTTTTTAATTTAGTATATAGAAGATATTGGGAGGTGGTATTTAATCGTCGATATAGGTAGTATTAAAGGTATATTTAATGAAAAATTCGTTAAATATCTTGTTTTGTTTATTTTTAGTTTTTGTTGTGTTTTATTTATTTATTATTTTAGATTGTTTATTTATAATTGTTTTAATTAATAAATATGTATATGTATTTTGTTTTTATATAGAAAAATATATAAATAGTTTTTTGAGATATTATTGATTTAAGTAATTTAGATATTGATTTTGGAATGAATTAATATGATTTTTATATTTAATAGAATATTAAGTTAAAAATATATATTAATTTATATATTAATTTATTATTATTATAAATTGATGTTTAATTATAAGTAAATAAAAAAATATTATAATAGTAAATATAGTTTAAAAAAAACAAGAGATATTTTTTATAAACAAATATTTATTATATTATAAAAAATATAAAAAAATATATATTTAAATATATATATTTTTATAAGAATATTAAATATTTGTTTTTATTATATTTAATTAAAATTAATTTAAATAATATATATTATATTAAATATAAAAATGTTAATTATATTTAAAAAAAAAATAGTATATTTAAAATAAAATATAAAATATAATTAATTTTATTATTTTTTTTATAAATTAAAAAAATATTAATTTTTAAAATAAAGTAAAATATATGTTCTTGTTTATTTTTTTTTCTTAAAGGGTTTTGTTGTGCGGAGTCTTTGGACAAATTATATAGAGCTAAGTTATATAGAGCTAAGTCCAAGGTACATAGAGCCAAGTTGCATAGAGCCAAATTGTTTAGAGCTAAGTTGCACAGAACCAAGTTATATAGAACTGACACAGAGCCAAATTACATAGAACTAAGTTATATGGAATTAAATAAATTATATAGAGCTAAGTTGCATAGAGCCAAGTTATACAGAATTAAGTTGTATAGAACTAAGTTATATAGAGCTAAATTACATAGAGCCAAGTTATATAAAGCCAAGTTATATAGAGCTAAGTTATATAGAGCCAAGTTATATAGAGCCAACTTATATAGAGCCAAGTTACATAGAGCTAAGTTTTTTCGAGCCAAATTACTTAGAGCTAAATTACATAAAACCAAGTTATATAGAGCCAAATTACATAGAGCCAAGTTACATAGAGCCAAATTATATAGAGCTAAATTATATAGAGCCAAGTTACATAGAGCCAAGTTACATAGAACTTGCATAGAACCAAATTCCACAAAGCCAAATTGCACAGAGCTAAGTTACATAGAACTAAGTAAGTTACATAGAACTAAGTTTCATAGAGCCAAGTTACACTTGAGGAGCGGGTGAACGAAAGCTAGTAGTTGTTGCATGAGATGGGTCGGTGACAGATAGGTAGCTTGTGTACAACAAGAGGCCCGGCAAGATTCGTAGGATGCGACATGCAAACGCACATGGTGGCATGGCAAACCTTGAAAAATGAAAACAATGAGAGGCGTCAGAAGCTGTCTTAAAGCACCTCTGGGTTCTGCATGCAGCGTGTGCAAAGATTCTTGCGAGGTGGTTTACCGAGAAGACTGAAGTCTCAAATAAATAAGCTGAATCGATGGAATATGTAAAAGTTCGTAGCACCGAATCCAAAACGGGCAAACCGAGACTGCGCAACATTGAGCCGCTGCCCGGGGGGGGGGGGGGGGGGGGGGGGGGCTGGACAGGGAGGAATCGAGCCTGAGACCCCGCGGGGGGGGGGGGGGAGGGGGGAGGGTCTAAATAATTGATGTTTTTCAATCTTTTCGGCTCAAATAATTGAAAAAAAAATCAATCTTTCGGCATTTGAATCCCTTACCTTGCTTACGCAAGGAGAAACTCCAGCTAGCTAAAGCTAGCTTTCGTGATAAAACCAAATTACATAGAGCTAAGTTACATAGAGCTAAGTTACATAGAGCCAAATTACATAGAGCCAAATTACATAGAGCCAAGTTACATAGAGCCAAATTACATCGAACCAAATTACCTAGAGCCAAGTTACATAAAACCAAGTTACATAGAGCCAAATTACATAGAGCTAAATTTCATAGAGCCAAGTTACATAGAGCCAAGTTACATAGAGCCAAGTTGCACAGAGCCAAGCGCATAGAGCCAAGTTGCACAGAGCCAAATTGCACAAAGCCAAGTTGCACAGAGCCAAGTTACATAGAGCCAACACAGAGCCAAGTTACATAGAGCCAAGTTATATAGAGTTAAGTTACATAGAGCCAAGTTGCATAGAGCCAAGTTACACTGAGTCAAGTTGTACAGAGCCAAGTTGCACAGAGCCAAGTTACATAGAGCCAAGTTACATAAAGCCAAGTTATATAGGGATAAGTTACATAGAACAAAGTTACATAGAGCCAAGTTACATAGAGCCAAGTTACATAGAGCCAAGTTATATAGAGCCAAGTTACATAGAGCCAAGTTACATAGAGCCAAATTACCTAGAGCCAAGTTACATAAAACCAAGTTACATAGAGCCAAATGACATAGAGCCAAATTACATAGAGCCAAGTTTCATAGAGCCAAGTTACATAGAGCCAAGTTGTACAGAACCAAGTTCCACAGAGCCAAATTGCACAGAGCCAAGTTACATAGAGCCAAGTAAGTTACATAGAACCAAGTTACATAGAGCCAAGTTACATAGAGCCAAATTACCTAGAGCCAAGTTACATAAAACCAAGTTACATAGAGCCAAATTACATAGAGCCAAGTTACATAGAGCCAAGTTACATAGAGCCAGTTACATAGAGCCAAGTTGCACAGAACCAAGTTCCACAGAGCCAAATTGCACAGAGCCAAGTTACATAGAGCCAAGTAAGTTACATAGAACCAAGTTACATAGAGCCAAGTTACATAGAACCAAGTTACATAGAGCCAAATTACTTAGAGCCAAGTTACATAAAACCAAGTTACATAGAGCCAAATTACATAGAGCCAAATTTCATAGAGCCAAATTACATAGAGCCAAGTTACTTGAGGAGCGGGTGAACGAAAGCTAGCAGTTGTTGCATGAGATGGGTCGGTGACAGAGTGGATTCATAGGTAGCTTGTGTACAACGAGAGGCCCGGCAAGATTCGTAGGATGCGACACGCAAACGCACGTGGTGGCGTGGCAAACCTTGAAAAATGAAAGCAACGAGAGGCGTCAGAAGCTGTCTTAAAGCACCTCCGGGTTCTGCATGCAGCGTGTGCAAAGATTCTTGCGAGGTGGTTTACCGAGAAGACTGAGGTCTCAAATGAACAAGCTGAATCGGTGGAACATGTAAAAGTTCGTAGCACCAAGTCCAAAACGGGCAAACCGAGACCGCTGAACACTGAGCCACTGCCCGGGGGGGGAGGGGATGGACCAGGGAGGAATCGAGCCTGAGACCCGAAATGATTGATGTTTTTCAATCGTTTCGGCTCAAATACTTGAAAAAATCAATCTTTCGGCATTTGAGCCCCTTACCTTGCTTACGCAAGGAGAAACTTCAGCTAGCTAAAGCTAGCTTTCGTGACATAGAGCCAAGTTGCACAGAGCCAAGCGCATAGAGCCAAGTTGCACAGAGCCAAATTGCACAGAGCCAAGTTGCATAGAGCCAAGTTACATAGAGCCAACACAGAGCCAAGTTACATAGAGCCACGTTATATAGAGTCAAGTTCATAGAGCCAGTTGCATAGAGCCAAGTTACACAGAGTCAAGTTGTACAGAGCCAAGTTGCACAGAGCCAAGTTACATAGAGCCAAGTTACATAAAGCCAAGTTATATAGAGCCAAGTTACATAGAACCAAGTTACATAGAGCCAAGTTACATAGAGCCAAGTTACATGGAGCCAAGGTATAGAGCCAAGTTTTATAGAGCCAAGTTACATAGAGCCAAATTACCTAGAGCCAAGTTACATAAAACCAAGTTACATAGAGCCAAATTACATAGAGCCAAATTACATAGAGCCAAGTTACATAGAGCCAAGTTACATAGAGCCAAGTTGCACAGAACCAAGTTCCACAGAGCCAAATTGCAC